CCAATTCCTTTAGCAATTCATCTGGGTTTTCTTAAGGTTTCCCATTCCAGGACAAGTTGCACCTTGCATATATTGTGAAATCTGAAGGACTCCTAGCTTACACTGATATAGCTGCAGGCATGGGAGGCAGAGTGAAGAGGGTACTGGGATGGAAGAGGCAGATGGATAAGCAGGCTAATAAATGTAATGGGAGGAAATGGTGAGGTTTCTGTTGTTTTCAAGGTCCAATGCGTCTGTGTCTTCAGAGAACCCAGTTAAATTCCCTTTGCTGTTGAAATCCAGGAAAATAGGAAAAAAATGTCCCTTTTGCTCCAGAACATTTCCAAAAGTCAGCTGAGACTAAATCATACTCACTGGGTGGAAGCAGTCCATATTGTTAATGCTATCATGGGAGACTGCAAGAAGAGTTAAACATTCACGAGGCTCCAGTTAGATGTTTTTCAAAACTGTCTAGGCTAGTTAAGCAGCTCTGCTGCCTGGCATGAAAAGAGAGAAAGTCTGCTTCTTCTACATTTCTCCTTGATCTCTCCTTTTATTTTGGGTGATGATAAGGGTTTGAATTCTCCACCATCAGTTCACAGGAGGATCAGGCAAAAAGCCAAAGGCCCAGGAATCGAAAGCGCTAGGAATGCTTGTTCACTAAGGCTGGCTGTCAGCTTCCCAGATCCCCCAGTGCTGACAGTGCCGCGGGGGAAGTAGAGCAGTGCTATCTCAATATAATGGACTGAAAGGGGAGGAAACCTCCTGAAACATCTAGTCGTTAAGACAGACCAGTCTTGCAGGTGGCATCAACACGATTGTAGAGAAAGGTCCAGCCACAGCCTAACCCTACCCTGCCTCCCTGCTTGGAAATGGTTGTGGATGCCCCAGAGCAACTGTAAGAAACCCCACAATTGTGGCTGTAGGAGGACTGGCGTTGTTAAGCTACTGCGACAGGGCAAGGTTACATGCTGACGGTAGTCAGTGATATTCTGCATCTTTCAAGCCCTGCAGGACCTGGGAACAGGGCATTTAGATGTGGCTTTTTCTTAGATAGTGCCTGGTTTGTACACTGGCCTCCCAGCTCTGTAGTCAAGGGCAGCTTTCTCCCAGTTGTCCCTTGTCAGATCATTCACATCAAGGCTGCCTATTTCAGGCTTTTATAGAAACAGATACTGGTATAACGTATGGGCTAGGGACAGAAATTACACATAAACCGGTGCAAGTGATCAGAAACTGGTTCAAATCTGTAACACAACAGAAGGTCGGTACACATAAACCACTTTCAAAGTGGCTGAAACCAATAAACATGGATGGGTGTAGTATCAGACTTAACTGATGTAGGTTAAATTGGCTTATTGCACTTCTGTTCCAGATCCCCTCTAGATTCAAGTCAACTCAGTCCCCTAGCATCCCAGGATGCTTTGCACCTCCCCTACAACCCCCCCTTCATGGGGTGGGCAGGCTAGCCTTGGCCCAAGCTGTGTTGCAGGCCAGCAGGGAGCCATGCTTTAGCGCCTCCTGGCTTCTTGCTTGACCCACTGCAGACATGTGGCTGCATTTCAGGAATCAAAAGTGAATGTCTGTTCACTTGCTTCTATGAAGCTTAGGCTAACCTGTGAAGATTGAATCGATTCAGCCTTGGGCTTGTTGACTGTTTGTACTTATCCAGAAGAAAGCAAAAGAGTCAGTAGAAAGAAAGTATGTACATCGCAGGTGGAGGAAGGAACAATAAATGCAAGGCCTTGTGTTCATGTACAACATTATACCTAAATTATGCATCAGAAACTCCTGAATTATGCAGAACCTTGTGCCCCTGCTGCCATGGTCCCAGTCCACCAATACCACACCTCCCCCTTCCCCGCACTGTTGTACAGTGCAGTTAGAACGGTATCTGATTATTCGTATGCTTAAATTGAATTTACTCTAAACTGTCCCCCAAATTTGGAGAATTTTGTTTTAAAAAGAGCTAACAGGATTGTAGCAATTATTAGAGGGGAGGTTTAGGAGTCTTTAGCAGTGGGGAAGGGGACAGCCAGGGCTTTGGGCACCAAAGACTGTTTGGGAACATGGCTTTGGATTTTATATTTGGAGCAAAGATAATACTTGGAGAAAGGTGCCGCCTTCTTCTGGCAGAAATAGAGATGACTTTTAATGAGGGGGAAGAGGGGTAGAAGTCCTTGGTATCCCATCTGACAATCTCTGCTTACACTTCTCCCCAGTCTTTGCTACAGTTATGTTGAGCAATAATGACTAAGACCTTTCTACTAAAATGAACTGAAATGAATACTGATTTACATTGTCAACATGATACTCTGAGGTCAGTATCCTGAGCTGGATGGAAGCAAGGCATAGTTGTCAGATGCATTTGATTTGTGTTTTGATAGCTGTCTTCCCAGCTATAAGCTTTTATTAACCAAAGTTGGGGTTTTAGAGTACAATTATATGGTAGGTTAAAAAACACTGCAATTATGTCTATTTGTGCATATGCATATTATCCATAGAGCCCTGAGCTAGTACAATGGCACATTGAAATGATGTTTGTATTGTTAACATGAGGGTTTGTTGCATCAAAATGTTGTTTATGTAAGAACTGGACATATTATGTTAGCTGGCAATAAGTAACTCTCAGAAGTGTCAGATAGTCATCCAGTAGCTCAGACTAAGGAATCAGTCAGAACAGGGGAATAGGAAGCAATGTTTGCTTAATCTACACCTTCGATTGGTCTGGGAACACCAAGAACAGGATCCTTAGGAGGAGTGGCCTATAGTCCGTGCAGACTACGCTGGACGCTCGCAGACATCAGTGGCTGGGACATGTGGCGCGCATGCCTCAAGGTCGTCTGCCAAAGGCTGTGCTCTATGGCCAACTCAAGAACCACCCACAGTGCAGAGGAAGGCCAAAGCTTTAATACAGCGACAAGGTCAAGCAAGGTCTCGAGAAATTCAGCATTTCCACTGACAACTGAGGAAGCCCTGCCCATATCTGCTCAGTCTGGAGAAGCTGGGTCAAGGCTGGTACAGTCACCAGGGAGAGCCATCAGAGAGTCCAGGCGGAGGCCCACAGGCAAGCTAGGAAGCAGAGCATGCTTCAGCCTCCATCTGATGAGTGGATCTGTAGCCACCGTGGGAGGTGTGGGAAGACTTGCTGCTCATGCATTGGGCTTTTCTCCCACACCACTGCCAAGCACCACTGACTGATTGACTTTGTTGCATCTCCTTTCATCTGTCAAGATGTTGGATGGCCATAAAGATGGTTCTGGGAGGCATTGTGTAAAATTAGCCATACTAAACAATAGGATCTTACTAAACTGTAGGATGTTATGCTTTTGGAACAGGCAACGTCTCCACTGCTGTCTGATTCCAGCTGAGGCAGATGTACAGAAGGAGAAATTCTGATGTATTTGGAGCTAGCTCAAATTAGTAGCATGGAAAGACTGGCAAGATAATGGGGATTACAGTGCCTAAATGGGTTTTTTTGTTTGTTTGGGGGAAGCGGGGGAGGGGGTTGGACTTCAAATTTTTTCCAACTGTACCAAGCTTCAAGCTGGATCTGTATCACTTCTGAGCTAAATCTGAGGATTGATAATCTTAAAACAGCCTTTATTCATTATGGTTTTCTCTGAGGAGAGACATTTTTCATTAGGATACATTTGACACTTTAGTCCAACACGGAGTTTGAATAGGGACTCCGAGGTTCACGGTCGTTCGAAACTTTGCACATCAGGTTGTAGTGCTGAGATCTGTTGCTAGGGATCTGGACCTTGTAATGCTTCTGCTGGCACAGCAGTACCACACAGAGTCTGAGCGTTGTCTGAGATTCGTCTGGAAACCTTTACAAGAGGCAAAGTCAGCCTTACAATGTGCTTAACTTGTAGGGACAGAGCATACGCGAGTCTGCAGAAGACGAATTGCTGGGGAAGCGAGGAATGCAGGGAGCAGGGCTGGAGCAGCGAGGTACAACCTTGCACCTGCTATGTAACAGATCTGATCGCTGTCCCCCTCCGAGTCTGACTTTAGGTTGAAGCTCCTTGGACTCCAGCTCAGTTGGAAAGTTTGGGCTGGGTTCCAAGCATTCTTTAGCCTTCTGCTCTGCATCTCCTCTCTCTCCTGAAATAAATGAAAACCCATTGTTCATACCAAGCTACTTGTATATAGATCCTCAGGGAGACACCTTAGCTAACAGTTATTAATGTCAGTTCTGTAAGTAGAGTTGCAAGAATGATTAGGAGTTCCAGCAGCTTTCTGGAAATGTAGATTCTCTAGTCCATGAGAATACATTTTGAGGGTTTGACAGCTTGACTCCAGCATCTGAAACTCATTGGTTAACCATTTTCCCCTAAACTGTTACCAATCAGACACAGCAAGGAACCTATATCTTTATTGTGTTGTCACCCAGCATCCAAGAACCCCTGCCACCATGACTTGACTCAGTTTACTTCTATTGCACGACAGCACTGTATGCAAGAATTTCCAGTGCTGACACCAAATTTATTACCTCTGTTTTATAATGCAGAATCTAGGAAAGTGCAATGCTGGGGTATGAATATCTCAGTTCATTAGGAATCTAGGGCACCGAGATGACTGCATTTCCTCAGCTGGTATATAATACAACATACAATGTGCCCGCTTCACCAAAATGATAGTTCATTAGTTCTGCTGTATTATAGCTGGAAACTCTAGTGCTGAGGTTTAGTTGCATTACCTCTGTTACTTTACAGCACAAAAGCCAGGACACAGCAGAAGCAAGACACAACTGCAGTAAGAGAACTGCAGTCCATAACAGCAAAATGTGAACACTGTCTCTGGTCTTTGGAAATATGTAGCTCTTTGAATGTCATGTGGGTTTTTTTATTCTTTTATGGCAATAGCATAAGCTGAATGGAGACTCTGGGGTCATGGTTATAATCAGTCCTTCTCCCCATGCCAGCTTCAGTGGTTGTTTCCTGGGTCTTTTAAAACTGCTGTCACAAACACCAGCTTTTTGTGTGACTGTGAATAATATTTATCTCTTTTAACAGGGTCCTCCTGGTCTATCAGGTTTACCAGGACCACCTGGCAAGAGAGGCCCCCGGGTAAGTGGCTTTCTAACTCTACTCCTTTCCCTAGCATCTGGTTGCTCTCCTCTGCTAATCCCCATGCTAGCATGGTTTTCACGGCCGTGACTGAGCTAATGACAGTTTCTAACACAGTTGTTAGGGCAGACGCAGTTCAGAGAAAAGTGAAATGTCCTACCTTCTTTCCTCCAAGATTTTCTGCAGACATATGGCCAGGCTTGACCCTGAGGTTTGCATTAGCATGACACATGAATGAACCCTTCAAAGTGGCAGGACAGTGTTACTCTCTCTTGTCATCTTCCCAATCTTTGTCATCAAATTATTTGTTGTTACAAATCTATCATAGACATTTTTTGTTCATTTTTTGCCTCTGGCTTTCCTCCCGGACTTTAAGCATATTTGTCACTGGTGAGTTTTACTCTCGCGCACAATGCTGTCCAAATGGCTGCTATAACAGAATTCACTTGTAAAATTGATTTCCAGTCCTGTCAGCCAAGGAGAGTCCTTCCTTTATGTTCCTTTATCAGCTTTCACCCTTCACTCTGCCCAAAATGTGGTTGTCCATCCCAGCCTGGAAGCAGAAACACAACACACAGTCAAACACATTTGACAGAGAAAGCACCTGTGACTTGCTTCCAGTCTATTTCAGGATCTAGGACAAAATCCCCAATCAGATCTTCAAAATCTGCTAAAAATCTGCTAATCCTTGTACATTTTACCGTTCCACCCCATTTTTGCTAATGTCAGCTATAAACCTGGTGGCAGAGAGACTTGGGAGCCTTGCTAGGGATACTGGTCTTTGAATCCTGTAATCAGTTGAGCTAAACAGGATGGACTGAGTTTTTGCATTAATTGCTGCTACAGCAGGGGTGGGCTAAATATGGCCTGCGGGCCGCATCTGGCCATGGAGGGGCTTTGTCCAGTCCGTGGCAGGTCCCTTGGTCCCGCCTGGCCCAGGCAGTGTCCAGCCGTGGTGCATCCTGTTGCCCCCAGCTGGACTGCCTTTCTAGGGGTTAGAGGCGGGACTTCCAGTCCCAAGATGGTGACCAGGGGGCGGGGCACCTGTTAAGAGGCGGGGCTACCCTCAACAGGTCACCAAAACTCGTTAAGTGGCCCTCCAGCCAAAATAGTTGCCCGCCCCTGTGCTACAACTATGCTATCTCAATGCTAGGCAGTGTCCCATAGTGCAGTGTCTTCTGAGCCTGCTGCCTCTTATTGTAGCAAGATGCTCTTCAGTAGAGTCAATCTGAGTGTGAATCCTCAGCGCGCTCCCATGCACGCTGGGTCTTTAGTAACTGGGGATTGCTGAAGTCTGTGGTTGGAGTGGAAGGAGGAAACAGTATTATGATCAAAGTCAGCTTCAGCAGTTGACCCGTGAGAGCTACTTTACTCAGAGGGAGAATTGCCTGGCCACCATTGTCCAGAAAGGTGACCAGGAGACCGAGGAGAAAGGGTACATGTTATAGTCCTGTGAGATCTCACAGTAAATACAAATGTGGTGCACTTGTCCGCAGCTGTACAGTAAAACAATGAATAATCTCATTTTTTTTCTCTTCCAATGGTGCTGAGCACCCACTAAAGCACCTCTCTTGTGGGGCACCGCTAGCATTTACCAAATCCACTTGGGCCGTTGGGCTACATGTATTTTGTTAGCTATCAATGAGCTAGAGTCTTTACCTACATCACACAAGGAGTGAGCTGACCTGGCACAGACCGTGTCTAACAAGGGCGTGAACGTTAGTCTTGGTGATTTGCACAGCAGCAAGAAATGCTTTGTTCTGGTACATGCAAAAGCATGTGTAGCTTAGAGCAGGCTCCTGGTTTCTAGATGAGTTTCTGCCACTGATTCATGGCAGCGCTGCAAGTCATTTAACTATGCTTTTAATAGAGAATTCGCACAGAGGTGGGAAGCTTGAGCAAGGAAGCTTGACAGGATTTGTGTTTTCATGCCAGGATCTCTCATGCACTTGTATAGTGGGCACCACTCTCGTTTACCCTCAAGACCCTTGACGCTGCTTGTGCAGCGTAAAACAAATTTTAACGTATAATTTGTGTTCAACTTTAAGGCTCCTTTCTACTGGCAGATTTATGTAAAGGGGAAACATAAATGACAATCAAGCCTTATGCCTTCAAAAGAGGTTATTTGCTTGATCCAGTGGTTTACATTGGAGTTAGACTAATGGATTTCACCTTTGGGTTTGCACTATTGGGTCCCTGGTACTAGGTAACCCCTTTATGCAGGGGCAGGTGATGTTTTGAGCTCACACCTGTGCATCACAGCCCATCATGCATGGGCATAGCTGGCATTTACTTTTCTAGCAAGTAGGGTTCTTTAGTGACACAGACACGGTTTGACATAGCTACAGGTAAGTATTTTCCATACTCCTATATTTACAAATAAATTAGCAAAGACCATCTTTAGATAAGACTAGCGTTCTGATCTTAGCCTGTAGCTGCTGGGATGTTCCCATTTAAGGCTGAAAATCTGTTCTCACCCCATCTCCTTACACTTACTGCAGGTGTCCTGCGGCACTTATTGCAGTCTTATGGTATGTAAACTAAACCCAGTGTCTGGAGACACCAGCTGCATACCCACACACAGCGTGAAAGACTGAATTTCAACTCTGTAGCCAAATTCTCCAGCTTAACAAAACGGAATGTTTTCAGTAGTATTAGTAGGGAAAAAAGTGTTGTTAAGGTTATGTCTGGGTGCCCAGGGTCTTGTAGTGTCCGCTCATCCATGGGAAGCCAACAAGCTTGGGATTCTTGAGTTAAGTCCTAGCCAGGGGTCCTGAAAGTCTGCTCCTAATAGAAGTCCCACTTGGGAAGTAATCAGGTGCAGCTGAGCCTAATTTGGCTTACATCTTTGAGAAGGAGACTGCTAATTAAGGGGATAGGGGGTTACTGTGTAGGTGCCTGGCCTGGGAGCACCCCATGAATGGTTTTGTCTTTGTAGATAGTTCTCTTTTTGTGTTTCTTTGAGTTTTAATCATTTGCAGTGCCTGAAGGCAGTGTTGCCAAGACTATGATGGGCTGGAAGATGTCTTGTCTTTGTCATTGTTGTGCATGAACCCTGTAAAAATAAAAACACGATCCCAGAGAGGATATCTTTTTCTATTTGCTCAACCTGGGCCTCCCATGAAATACCTCAGCAGCTGCATAGACCCTGTCCCAGTTGTAGCCACCCTTGTACCAGACATCTTGTCTGTCAAATAAAGTGTCTCGACTCCAACAGAAATTAATCCCTAATGTTTCAGAGGGAGGATGAGCAATGCACATAACTAGCTTTGCAATGCTGTACAGGCAAATGTGATATCTGGAGCTTGGGCAGTTTATGGCTAAGAGTATGAGACATAACTGCCCTCATCCGAGCTTGCATAACTTCAGTTTTGATAATGCTCATAAAATTATCTGGCTCTTTTGAAACTCCAGTCACAGTATTTGACTCATGAACTGCTGTAGCAATGAATTCCATAGGGTGACTGTTTTGATGCAGCCTAGTATTTCCTCTTCATATAACTCCATAACCCTGATAGTCTTCGGATATTCTGCAAGGGGGAAAAAGCCCCTGATCAGCTTTCACTTTTCTAGAGTCAAATTGGGGTCAGTGGCCCACTGGTGGTTTGTAGAAAGAGCTGGCTGGTCATATGATGCTGACTCTTTATTTCTAGCAGATAAATTATTCAAGGCTTCTTTTACTGCACATTCCATATGTTACTTTTGCATGTAAGCAATTTCTGACATTGCCGCAGGGATCTTGTGTGATTGTGTATGGAGGTCAATGCAGTAGCAGCAAAGGGGAGGGGAAATAGTCTGCAAGTCTGTCTCAGTATTTAAAGTGTAGTCAGATACAAAGGAGAAAGTCCAGCAGTTACAGGTAGTCGAAAATTATCTAGAATGGAGGTAGATGGATGCAAGCCTGTAAGAACCCCTGCAGTAAAGCCAACACTGTACCTAGACTCCTGGCGGCCCCGGGCAAACTTTTAGTATTATCCCACCCGCCCCCCCCATCCTCACCACCACCCCACACTTTTAGGATTATCCCCCCCCCCCCTTTTTAGTATCAGGCCCCCCTTTGCCAGAAACAATTATAATAAAAATTACCACTTTGGGGCCCCTTTTCTATCCGGGCCCCAAGTGACCTCTCAGTTCACCTACACCTGTGTCCGGCCCTGAGTATAGCTAGCCGAGACTGAGAGAGCACTCAGAATCCTAATCCTCCTTTCTGTGGTTAGCGTTCAGAAAGCTGAGCCGAGCTTCAAGAGGGTGAAGCTGCCCTGTCATCCCTGTACTGGGCTGTTATAGATCTACATGTCTTCCTGTCTGCACATTCTGTGCCCTGTAGTTGGGTACATCCGCTCTCATTTTAAGAACCGTTGGTGCAGATGTTCAATTAGATGCTTCTTTCTCTCTATTTTCATATGCACATGAAATGCAGTGAGACAGCTAAGGATGCTGATACTGGGAGTGACTTTAGTAGCCTGAGTTAACATCCATTGCAATGAACACGGCAGTTTGTATCTCAAAACCACTGCAACGTGGCCAGCCCCAAACTTCCAGTGTTTCTACAAGCATAAACATGCTTTAGCCAGCATAGCTGATTCATGTATTATCCCTGCTGCCCTGCCTGACACCTTTCCTGGTGCCTAAGGTGGCCGAGGGCAGACAAGGTTCTTTGGGTAAATATGATTTCTATTATTAGACCAACTCAAATAGCTGGAAAAAAAATCTGTGCAAGCTTTCAGACACAAACGCCCTTCATCAGGCTGAGGACCCCAGAAATCTATCAAAAACAAGAATACCCAACTACCTGTGGGAGCACATTTCTCACAAAAGAACCACTCTCTCTCCAATCTTTCAGTTCTAATCCTCAAAGGGAATTTACAAAAGACCTTTCACAGACAAGCCTGTGAACTTCACTGCATCGACCTACTGGATGCAAAAAATCATAGACTAAATATAGATTTTGGATTTATGGTACAGTATAACCAGCCTGACATCTGAGTCCCCAAGTGCCT